CCAAGGTGGGGTGGTGAGGAGGGGTTTGGGGGTGCACTGTCACCCCCCGAGAAGGGGTTTGGGAGCACACTGTCACACACAGCCCCGGAGTGGGGTGGGGCTCCCTAGCTGGGGGTCTGAGTTGCCCCCCCCAGTGCCCGGTGTCAGTGCCCTCCCTCCACCCCCCCAGGGCTGATCTTCGTGGTGGACAGCAATGACCGGGAGCGGGTGAACGAGGCGCGCGAGGAGCTGATGCGGATGCTGGCCGAGGACGAGCTGCGGGACGCCGTGCTCCTCGTCTTCGCCAACAAGCAGGTGGGTGTCGTCCCAGGGCCCCTCCAGCCTCGGCCGCCCTGGGGCTGAATTCTCCATGGTGTCTGTAACCCCCCCTCTGCCCCCCAGGACCTGCCCAACGCCATGAACGCGGCGGAGATCACGGACAAGCTGGGCCTGCATTCCCTGCGTCACCGCAACTGGTACATCCAGGCCACGTGCGCCACCAGCGGCGACGGGCTCTACGAAGGCCTGGACTGGCTGGCCAACCAGCTGAAGAACAAGAAGTGAGCGAGAGCCGCCCGCCCCCCGCACCGCGAGGGGCCGGGCGGAGCCGCCCTTCTGCCCACCCCCTCTCAGGCTGGCAGGACCCGTCGGCTCTCCCCCCTCCCCCTCTCGTTGGGTTTTGCTTTCTTTCTGGCACCGGTTGCTGTGGGTTTGATTTGGGGTCTTGGTTCTGGTCCCTCCCCTCCCCCGGGGTTTGCACGGATCTCAGTGTGTGTGCGCGTGTGATGAATATATCGATATATAAATATTTATGGGGGGCGGGGGGCATCTGCTTCCGTGCTGGGGCAGCCCCCTGCCGCCGGGGCGGGGGGCACCGACTGCCCCGCGTGTAGCAGTGGCCTTTCTTTTGTGTTGTTTTTATGTTGTTCTTGGTGCCCTGTGACATGACACGGAGGTAAATTCCTCAAGGCAGCTTTAAGCTTCTGTGTAGGGGGGGCTGCTGGTCTGTGCTGGGGGGGAGGGGACACTGCAGGGGGATGGGGCAGCTGGGGGAGTCGTTTCTGGGTCTCATCCCATTTCATCTGGGTGGTGGTGGGGGCGGGGGGGGGTTGGTATCACTTGCTAGGGCAGCGCCCCCTGCTGGCAACGTGGCCCTTTCCCCAGCCTCCCCCCACACCACACTGTACAGGCACAAGGGGGGGCTGGCAGAGCTGGTGGGGGACCGGCCAGTGCAGTCTCTGTGCAAGGGAGGTGAACGTTCCCGAGGGGGGCGCAGGGGGGCTGTGGATTCAGTGGCAGAATTGGGACCATGGTGGAAATTGCCCCTCCAGCCTCGCGCTCCCCCCCACCCACCCCCAGGGTTTCAGACGCTGCCGGACCCGGCGTCCCCATGCACTTCCCTGTGTCTCCACTGGGGCGGCACCCACAGCTGCTAAATGACTCCCCCGAGGTCGCCCCAGAGCAAGGGCCCCAGGTTCACCCCCCCACACACACACCAAATCATGTCACTTCAAGAGGCAGGATTCCTCCCCCTGCAGCAGCCCCCCCATGTTCCCCAGCACCCCCCTCCTCGGCAACCGTGGGGGGCTGTGGGGGGCACTCCTGTTATCACAACCGCCTGCGGTGGGGACACCCCGAGAGGCGCCTGTTGGGCTGAGCAGGGATTTAGGGGAGATGCATCAGGGACCCCCGCAGCCCCCCGGACTTGCCCACAGCAGAGGGATGGTAGCCCTGGGGATCCTGTCCCCCAGGGGCCGGTGGTGGGAGCGCATTAGCTCAGGTTGGGCTGGGTAATTAGCGGCTGTTTCTCGGTGGGCTGGTTAGCAAGGAGTGTATTAATTTTTCCTTTGTACCCGCCCCCCACAGCAGTCATGCATGTGACCCCCCCATCCCTCTCCCCCAAGATGGAGGGAAATTGGGCCTCACCCACTCCCCCGGCTTGGGGAGCCCCCTAACCAGCCAGCAGGGGCCAGCGATTCGCAAGTGACCGCCCGTCCCCCCCCCCCCCCCCCCCCCGTGTCAGCACAGTGATTGTAACGAGAACACACACACACACACCCCAGGCGGACAGACGGACGGACTGTCAGCTCCTCCCCAGCACATGTATTTATACCCCCGGTCTCTGCTTGGTGTGACATGTTGCCCGTGGTTCTGCCCTGGGACGTGGCCCGTGTGTATAGCACCACCTGCCCCCCCCCCCCCCCCCGCCCCCCCCCCCGGGTGTCCGCCCCCCCCCCCCCCCCCCCCCCCCCCGGCTCTCGGGGTGTTGGATACACGAGGACCCCTGTACCCCCATTGAATATTAAACATGTTTTATGTAGTGCTGGCCCTGTGTCGCTTCTTTCACCTCTCCGGGGCTGCCAGAGGAACTGACACCCCCAACTACTCTCTCAGGCGGGGGGGAGCCAGGACTCCTGGGTTCTCTCCCCTGCTCTGGGAAGGGAGTGGGGGTCTAGTGGGTTAGAGCGGGGGGGGGCTGGGACTCCCCATCGCACCTGGGCTGAGCTGGGACGTGGCCCGGATCTGGTGCCCTCACCCCCCACCCTCATCAGTGCCAGTGAAGCCAGGTCCCCTGGGCGGGCTGGGGAAGGGGTGATGGACAGGCTGGGGCCGACTTTAATTAGAAACAGCTTAGGGGAGCGATGGTGCTTCTGGGGCAGGGAGATCCGGAGCCAGAGAGAAGCTTTACCCCCCCACACACTCCCCCCAGTCCTGTATTTAAGGGGATATTGGCTGAAATGGTAAATCCCATTAGCTCTAATCCTGGCTGGGGGAGGCGGATTGTGCCCGTTCCACACTCTGATTTGAAACAAGTGGGGGCAGGCGCTGAATCCTCGCCCCCGCCCTGGGCCGGGGGGGATGGGGCACAGGACCTGGCAGCTGGCCCTGTGGCTGTGGAAGAGAGGGGGGCCCCGGTGCAGGACGCCTGGGTTCTGCCCCGCCAGCTCTGCTGCATATTGACGGTGTGATCCTGAGCCCCGGGGAGGGGCCCTGCAGGTTCTGCCATTCGCACTGCTCCAGCCCAGTCACCCCCCTTGCTGGATGCAACCCCCTTGCACCCTCCAGCCACGCAGCCTCGGCCCCACGAGTGCTGGGCCCCCATCCGAGCCGAGCCCTGCGGCAGGACAGGCGGGACGTTTCGGAGCGGCACAAAGTTTGGACAGCCCCTGGGGGCGAGGCTGCGCTCGCGGGGGGCAGCAGTGGGTAGAGCGGGTGCCAGGTGGTGGTGGGTAAATGGAAACTCCACCCATGTGTCCTGAGAACACAGATGTGGGGAGACACGGCCCCTGCCCTGGATTCGGGGCTCATGAGCTGCGCGGTACAGATGGGCACCAGTCCCTGCTCGGTTTCCGGGGTAGAGCGGTGGTGGTGTGGGCAGTGGGGCCGTGCTGCTGCAGGGATCGCGGTGCCAGGGCTGTTAATAGTGCGGATGAGCCCAAAGTGCCTTGGCCAGGCTCCTGCTGGGAGCTGCCTCCAGTCTCCTGGGGCCCAGGCCGGTGCCCCCACTAGGGCAGGTCAAACCCGCCCGTCCGGAGCATCGCCCGTGGGTTCTGCGGTGGGTGGGCGGGGGTGGGGGGAGGCCAGGCCAGGCTTAACCCCTGGGTTTCGATGCCGCTGCCAGAGCCGTGGGTCCTGTGGTGTCGACTTGAACCAGGCCCGAGCGGCTACTGAGCTCACCGGGGCATGCCAGCACTGGGGGAGCAAAGTGAGGGGTGGGGTGCATGGGGGGAGGAGATAGAAAGCCCCGCTTCCCCCCAAGACAGGGCAGTTGGAGCCCTGCTTGTCTGACACAAGGAGCGTTGTGCCCCCTGGGGTGAGTGACAGAGCTGGGAGAGGGGGGGTGGGTGGGGCTGGCTCTTCAGCCCAGGGTGCAGGGGAGGAAGCGCTGGGTGGGGAACGTGGGGGGGTCTCAAGATGTCACATGCCAGGGGACTGGGCCAGGGGGCACATCTGCAGGGTCTGCCAATCAGTTCCCCCCACTCAATGCTCCCCAGAGCTAGTGCTGCTCCTCAAATCCCCAGTGCTCCAAGCAGATGGTTAGAGCAGGGGGCCGGGAGCCAGGACTCCTGGGTTCTATCCCCAGCTCTGGGAGGGGGAGGAGGTTTAGGGGTCCAGGAGCCTGGACTCCTGGGTTCTGTCCCTGGCTCTGGGAGGGGGAGGGAGTCTAGGGGGCCGGGAGCCAGGACTCCTGGGTTCTATCCCCGGCTCGGGGAGGGGG